GCTCCCCTTGCTGCTCTGTTACACACCCTTAGTGTTTCCCCCTGGTGTGGTGGGGTCAGATCAAGCACTATTCCCACACTGTGCCTCCAGTGTTGTCCCTCGAAGCACTATGGGTTGGTGAGGGACATCATGCCTCCTGGTGGGGAGGGGGGTGGCCCTCTGGTCCTTTCTGTGCATTGGCTGCTCCAAGCAGGAATATTGTTCTCTGGGCTTGGTCGGCCAGGATGTGTTTCACTCTCTATTTCTCTCTCCTTCCCTCTTAATTTGCTCCAGTGTGCTCTGATCAGACGTTCCCTCCCTGAGCTGTAGCTTCAGTGCTGTCCTCTGACGTGCATTCTTCTTGTGTGGGTGGGGGGATTCCCACGTAGCTGGGATTGGGCCCGGCCCCACAGTATTCAGAACAGATAAATCCCTCAGGACCAATAATGAGAGTAGCGATACCAGGAGGGTAGGGGGAAGGTGGAGGGAGAAAGGGGAACCGATCACAAAGATAGATAAACAACCCCACCCCCGAGGAGGACAAACAACAGAAACATGGGTAAAAGGTGACCGCAGATGGTGTAAAATATGAAAAATAAAAATAATTTCTAAATTAGCAAGTGTTCATGAGGAGGGGAGGGAGGGGGAAAAAGAAGAGCTGATACCAAGGACTCAAGTAGAAAGAAAATGTTTTGAAAGTGATGATGGCAACATATGTACAAACATGCTTGATACAATTGATGCATGGATTGTTGTAAGAACCCCAATAAAATGATTTATTAAAATAAAAATTTTTTTAATTGATGGTTCAAACCTATCAAGCAATATGGCAGAAGAACAAAAATACCTGGCAATCTACTTCCATTAAAATAGCTGTTGATGACATCCAGCCAATGCAAACCCATGACAACCCAAGTGTGCAGAGTAGAACGGCTCCCTGAACAGATCCCTAAGCCTTTACCAGCCAAGAAATCCCCACGGGGCTGGCAGAGTCTAGGCGACATCAACTAACCACGTCGATTCTCACAAGACGCTCTCTCCTTGATTGTTTCGAGACTCTTGTCACCTGTGGTTGCCATCGACAAACACGTGGCATAGTGGTTATGAGGGGGGTTGCTAACCTCAAGATCAGCAGTTTGAAACCATCCGTCGTTCTTCGGAGGGGGGGGGGAAGATGTGACTTTTAACTCCCGTAAAGAGTACAAGAAAGAAGCAAGTGTTCTAAAGTTGATTGTGGTGATGATTGTACCATTCTCTTTGCTATGATTGAACTATTGAGTGGTGAAATAGATGCCAATAAGACTCTTTCAAAGGAAAAGCAGAGCTACAGTCTCAGGAACCCACAAAAGTGAGTCTATCCTCTTCTATGAGGTCGCTGTGAGTAGCATTGACTCAATGGCAGTGAGTTTATGAGTTCTAGTGGACTTCTAACAGAAATTAGATCGATGGTTTTCCTTTGTTCTAAAGATTAAGATCAAATGAAATGAAAAGGCCTATTGAAATGCTCGTCAATGACGCAAGCAAATTCTTTGCTCAATCAGATAATGGTTTCAAAAAAACCAGGTACCGCCTCCACTGCCTGTGTAATTCACAATGTAACAGCGGCAGATAAGATACACTGTGAAGCTTAATAGACACTGTTAGCGTTATCATATTCCCCATCACTTTCTTCCATCTGAATGATCAACAGACCATAAACCAAACCCTGGTTTGTAGGGTGTACCAATTCCTGTGGTGTCAATACTTCCAGCATGGGCAATTTCCAGCTGCCGTGAGCAAGTTATTTGAGATTTGCCACAAGATACCATGATGCAAACTCAAAACCCAAACCACAGGCATCATGTGGATCCCAACTCACAGCACAGCCCTGTGTTACAGAGTAGAATGGTTCTTTTAGGTTTCCAAGACTATACATCTTTACAGGCAGACAACCTCATCTTTTTCCCAAGGACCAGGTTGGTGGGTGCAAACCTCTGGCTTTGCTGTTAGTAACCCAATACTTAATCCACCATGCCACCAGACCCCTTGCCATTACACAAGGGGGTGCCCACGGTCAAATGGAATGAAAAGATCGTGGAACTTTCCACAAACTTCTCCAAGTGCCTCTTATTTCCCCCACAGTTAGAACAAATGAAAATCCCACTGCTTTTGTTTCAATTCCTGCTCACAGTGATCCTATAACACAGGGAAGTAATGCTCCTGTGGGTTTCTGAGACCAGAACTCTTTGCAGGAGTAGAAAGCCCCATCTTTCTCCCTTGGATCGGCTGGTGGCTTCAAACTGCTGACCTTGCGATTAGCAGCCCAATGCATAGCCCCTAAGCCACCAGGGCTCCCCATAGGAAATACTCTCACCACCTCCACTCATCAATTGGGCTCAGGTGGTGACCAACATGTTTGCTGAGTTGCCGGAAGCTCTGCCAGCAGAATTTCCAATACTGGCAGGACCACCCCTGGTGGACAGGTTTCATAAGTGCTTCCAAACCAAGACAGACTAATAAGAAAAGTCTGGTAATCTACTTCTAAAAATCAGCCAATGAAAACCTTGTGGATCACAGCAGAGTTTTATTGTACGATATAGTACTGGCAGATGAGCACCTGCCACCCAGCCTCTATTAGCTAAAAAAAACCAAATCACTGACTGTCATGGAGATAATGCTGACTCATAGTGACCCTGGAGGACATGGTAGAACTGTCCCTGGGGGTTTCCCTCACCTTTCCCCTTTGGAACAGCTGGTGGTTTTGAACTGCTGACCTTGAAGTGAGCAGCCCAATGTATAACCACTAGGCGACCAGGACTCCTCTCCCTTTATTGGCAGGCACTCCAAGTGCCCAGCAACAGATCCAACCGACCAACAATCCTGTGGCGACACAGAGCAAGGCAAGCCCTTCATTCTGTAGAGTCACCATGAGCCCGAGATGACTCCGGAGCAAAGAACCCCAGGAACATACCAAAAAAAACCAACCCCACTGCCATTGAGTTGCCTCCTAGCGACCCTACACTGAAGTTCAAGGCCATCAATCTTTACAGGAACAGATGGCCTCAACGTCCTCCCATGGAGCTGCCGATGGCCTCGACAGAAGTAAAACGAGGACAATAGCCCCAATATGTAGGTAACATCATCCTAAATGGAGAAAAGATTGAAGTTAAGAATTTCATCTTGCGAGGATCCACAATCAATACTCATGGAAGCAGCAGTCCAGAGATCAAAGGACATCGTGCATTGGGTCAATCTGCTGCACAAGACCTCTTGAAAGTATTGAAAAGTAGGACGGTCCTTTGAACCCTGAGCTGCTCCTGACCTGAGCCTTGGTATTTTCAATCACCTCCTAGACAGGTGAAAACGAGACCCTGAATCACGAAGACACGAGAAGCATTCATCCGTTTGAATTGTGGTGCTCAAGAAGAGCATTGCACATGCCATGGCCCGCTAAAAGGACCAACCCATCTGTACAGCCAGCATGCTCCTTAGGAGCAAGGGTGGAAAGACTTTGTCTCAAGTGCTTTGAACATGTCATCAAGAGAGACCAGTCTCTCGTGCCTGGTATAATGGAGGGACAGAGAAAAAGGAGACCCTAGATGAGATGGATGGATATAGTGGTGGCAACAGTGGGCTCGAATATAAGAACAAGTATGAGGACGGCGGAGGACCAGGCGGTGTCCCGTTCTGTTGTCCACGGATGGGCTTGCGATGAGTCAGAACCAACTTGTCAATGTCTTAACATCCAAAACAGCATTTCCAAGAGCTACCAGTCTCCACGCAAGGACTCGGGTAAAGCCTGTGGACCACTGTGGTCATTCCACTGATCCACATGGTCTGACCCAGTACCACCTGCAGCAGCTGCAACCTACAGGGGTGCATACAAATGCAACTAGAAGGGAGCGGAAAGGTCCCAGGAGCTTTTTGAAGCATCCCTCGCAGGAGTGCTTGTGAAGACGGCAGAGGAGCAGGCAGTGTTTCTCCTGCTGTGCATCATGTGGTGATGATTCCGGAGCAGATGCAAAAGCAACTCACAAAGCCAAACCAGCCTCACTGCCATGGAGTCGATGAGACTCCTCGCGCCCCTACAGGACAGGGCAGAGCCGCTGCTGTGAGTTTCTGTGACTGTGACCCTGTACAGGTGTAAAACTGGAAAGCAAGCAAACTCACTCACTGCTATTGAGGTGGTGCTGACTCACAGCGATCCCCTGTGGGTTTCCAAGACTATAATGTTGACAGGGTAGAAAGGCCCATCTTTCCCCTGTGGTTTCAAACTGGTGACCCTGGATTGGCGGCCCAATGTGTCACCCCAGTGCCTCCAGGGCATCTTTGATGGTACTCAACAGCGACAACTAAAAAAGAAGCTCGCTGCTATTCAATGGATGCCAACTCATAGTGACCCTATATATAGGACAGTGTAGACCCGCCCCTGTGGGTTTCCAAAGCTGCAAATGTTGCAGTAGAAAGCCTCGTCTTGCTCCCTGGGAGAGGTTAGTGGTTCTGATCTACTGACCTTTGGTTAGCGGCTCAGCGGTCACCGCTGCGCCCACTCCCCACCCCAAACCCACCACTCCCTCTCTTAACAACCGTTTGACACACATCTCTTCCGGTCTCCAGTGGCCCAGTCAGAATCCCTCCATGATGATTAGTGAGGTGAATGAATGAGGCTAACGGGTCCCCCAGAAGGCAGCCCCGGGAATTGCATCTGAGTTTCCTGGGCTTTCTTTATTTCTTCCCCAATAACATAGCATAAATAAGTGTGTGGGTGTGGTTTTCCCAGTACCTTCACGATGCGTGGCACATAAATAAAAATAGAATGGATGAATTATAAAGTGCACCGTCTGAGGCCAGGCCCAGAATAAATAGTGAGCATCCACCGCGAGCAGGATGGAACGGAGTAACCAGACTAGGGATCCTGTAGGGAAGAACGCGGCATCTGGAACCCCGATGCAACCTCATGAGGTAGAGCAGCCCGCCCAGCCCGAGGTCTTAACCCAAGGGGGCAGGAGGCAGTCTCAGTCCACGTGGGCGGCACCCAGTCATCAAGTGGGCCGTGGCCAGGGAAGTCTTGGTTCAGAGGGGTCTCCTGTGGCCACGCGGAAGAGGCTCAGGACCGTGGCGCCCTGGGCCAGTTGCCAGGTGGGGTGCGCTGTGGCTGAGGTACGCAGGTGGACTGACAGGCGCTGGCCGGCACGCAGGCGCAGCAGGCGGTTCCGGGAGCCTTCGGCCAAGTCTGAGGATGCTGCCGGCAGGGCCACACGCAAGGTCAGCGCAGAGGAGCGGCCGGGCTGCAGGCGCAAGTCCGCAGAGACCCACCCTGGGCGGTCGCTGTCCTCGTAGCCTCCGTAGTCAGAGGCCAGGACGCGCTGCAGCTCTAGATGCAGGAAGACTTCGTACACCCCAGCCTCTTCCACCACCAGCTGCCGGTCCCTCTCCTCGTAGCGCAGGTCTCCGGCCAGGAACACGCCAGCCAGGCCCTGGTCACTGTGCCAGAGCAGGGTCCCATTGGTCAGCAGTACTGTGGAGGGGGAGAGAAGGGGACTGGTGAGCCGGGCTGGGGTTCTAAGGCAAGGGAAGAGACACACGGGTGAGGGGCAGAAGGGGCGCCCCAAAAGAGAGGGGTGGAGAGGATGGAGGGAGAGGGAACGAACCCAATGGGGGGAAAGAGGTGATCTCAAACAGGTGACAGGGCATGGGAACCCGCAGGCGGAGGGCGGGCACTCAGCAGGGGGAGAGGACTCAGTAGAGGGGAGGGGAGGAGACTTCAAGGGGGATGGGACCGGAGATAGAAGGCTGGATTGGGGGAG